GCTATTTACTTCACGATTCACTCACTCAATTTGTGTTCGATCAATCCACAACCACAACAGCCGTATATAAGAAATTTTAATTTCTTTGAGAGTATGCTACATAAAAAATTATTTTATGAAACACAATCATGTTGATGCTAGCCTTGTACATTATAATCCTGTCCTTTTCATGCTAATCAACTGCCAAGCTTTGCTATCAGACCTTGGGATTAGATGGCCACCACAGAAATGGTACACGAGTGCCAATACGTTCTGTAGATTCAATAGGAACATGGATTTGTGGCTGCTTGTATTTACTTATAGTTGTGCCCAAGCTCAATTTGGTTCCAAGTCCAAGTGCCCAAGTCCAATGGAGAGCCCAATTTTTCGTTTGTAATTCAAATTCATATGTAGGTTTTTGGAAATCTATACGAGAAGGAATGAAAATAATGTGCTTAATTTTGGGCTTGAAACTGAAAAATTATTACACCCCAAAAACTGGTATATACTAAAATACATACAAATTAGAGTCGTAAAATAGGAATAATTTTGCAATATCCATTTTTGAAACAGAAGTTTTGTGCGCCCGATTAGGTCAGTGCATTAATCTTGTCAACCGGAGACCTGAATATATCAGGAGCCAACCCCCGCAGGCGAGGAAATAGAATAAGGCTCATAAACTACAGCCGCGCGCTGGTATGGCTATGTAAGAGCAAATAAATGTTCCCATAAATTCTATTGCATTTGAATGCACTCACTTGCTGCAAATAGCGCTGTATTCACGCGGCAGTGGGTGAGTCAAATGAAGGTGCGATTCACGCACAACTTATCGAATGAATTTATGTGCGTTTTGTACGATAAGTTCATGAGTCACCGACGCCATGCAAGAGACAGGCAACGCTCAGGTCGGTCACTGTAGAAGGCGTCTGATGTATTGTTCCTGGGACAGACGATTTATATGCACCGCAATAGCCTCAGACATTTCCTTAAATGATCCATAATGTGCATTAAAAATATGTGTTGGAATAATCCACGAATAGGAATATATAATAAAATAATGTTCCTTAATATGCAATTAGAGAACTAGCTAATTAAAGATTAAATAAATTTGCGAACGATCAAAAATTATGGTGTACATCATAATCGTCATCATAACCATCATTATCATCTTCACAATACGTATCAATTAGATATATAAAACTCGTACATTTTATCCGTGATTAAAGCAACTACGGAAACGAAGTAAATAACCGGACCAGGTAATCAAAAACCTCCTCTCATTGACCCGCGACAATGTAAATGCGAGACAAGCCTGGCCTGATTACCGGACCGCAGCATTGCATTTAGTTTTGGTCTGGCGAGGCTTACATTGCAGCGACCAGCGGAGTGCCGCACCTGCAGACGCCAAGGCTGTACTTGACAGATGACAAGGAGGGCCTTGACAGATGTAGAAGCAGTCTTTGATCGCCGCAAAGGCGTATAAAGGCTGCTGACCACTGCCTTATCCTTTATCCCGATGCCCTTTGTGTGGAGTTGACATCAGGACGAGTCGAGGTACGACCTCCGCCGTACATTTAAGCAATGCACATTAGTTTTTTTTATTATATACGTAGCTAGAGTTGATCTATATCCTTATTTCATGCTGCAAAAAATGCAGCATTGTTGACATAAGCAGTTGTAAAAATGTAACTAAGCGTGCAGTGTTGCTCTTCCAATCAAGAGATATTGAACCAAAATAGTATTGCGTTGCAATAAAATATATAATATAATATAAAATATATAATATTATATAATAAAATATATACTAATACGCAATAATAAAAATATTGCACGATCGTCATAAATCTTGCAGCATTATCAACAAAATATCGATACGATTTATGCCTTTTTATTGAATTAAAATACTTATTATTCGAAGAAAACTCATACTTACGTACAGCAATGTACGATGCGTGTTTTTAAGAAAGTACTGTTTGACTATAAATCAACTAGTTCGATCATTGAGGGCGAGAAACACTGATACTTAGTCCGCCTGAAAATCGCAAGCCAGATTAGGGAATACAAATAAAATTTAAATTTCAATGAAGAAGTTGTCTATTGATTCGCCTAACAATATGAATATGACGAACTAAAAGCGGAAAAATAAGCAGCAAAAATTATATAGAACGGGCGAGACGCAGGACGCACTGTACGATGCCCAAAATGCTGTAACCGCAATATCTTGTTCAGTTCGCAAGCTTCAATGAAACTTAATTAGTTGAGATTAAAAATATAGACCAAGGACAGGAGATTACAGGTTCAATTATATTTTCCGTGATCAATATATTTAGTCAACAAATTAAGGTTGCTGAGCAGTTTATGTCCTGCAGAAGTTGGCTCGGTTACAGCATCTTCAGCATGGCACAGCGCAGCCAGCGTTTCGAAGTGCCGGTCGACCATTCCGTGCAACTTTTCTGCGTGTTTTTCCCCTGGTGGTTCGTCGTTTCCATGCTGCTAGGTGAATCAATAGCCATTTTTTCCACTTAAATTCAAACTTCACTTATATTCCCTTATTGTTTGTTCATTGGACTGGCATCTTTCAGGCTGATGACGTATCAATGTTAGTCGACATCAACACACTTGCTCATTTACTCGTAATAATAAAACAATATCAGTACATTTGTGACTGGGAGATAATCAGCTCGTCGAGTTGCGACATTTATAACGCACTTGCTAATTGAATTTCAAATCAAGCTTAGACCAGGCAATCACTGACATGAATCCTCAAATAATTAAGGTAATCGTTAAACTCACGATCTCCTCACTGCATTCGATAATTCAGTACAAACACGGGATTTTATTGTAATTTGCTCAATTTGAAATTTTATCGCATATAGTGTTAGGCCAGCAGCAAGAAACTGTGAGTAAGAACTTCTAATATATCCAATTCAGGTTAGTTCTGTATTCGTGACAGATGGTCATTGTTGAACTAAATAATATAATAGTCATGGGGGTGGTGGGGTAGGGATCAGTAGATGTGGGGATACAATGAAAATGAAAACGGCCGGGCCCCGAAACTAGGAACCCAAATAATTTTAGTACTCAACCCGAAGACAACGACTTGAAAGTTTAGTTTTTTTAGAATGGGTTGCCCAGCTGTTGTTCTTATTTTTTAGCCAACTGGAAGACCGGATTGTACTCAAGTATGTGAATGTTTTCTTTAGAAGGAACCAGTAGCGAGGCACCACGAGCCGGCACACTTGGGTTCAACTTCTCCAGGCTCCCAGCAACTGAACTTCTCAGTGCCTCGCTAGCAGTCGTAGGAAGTGGACTTGTCGTTATGCTGTTCTGTCCGAAGCCGGTCTGCACCAGCAGAATTCGTAATCTCTTGTTTACGAACTATGATATCCAATATTTTATAATATCTAAGATTGACTGTAAACAAGCAGCATAATTTTATTAACGTAGAGTCAAAAATTAATAGAACTGCAATTTTGATTAATTTGCATAAATTACAAATGAGTGCCAAATATCCAATCTATTCATAATTTTATGGATGAATTTATTCGCAAAATTGGTTTACTAATAGTGAAGCATTTTATATCAGCAGCAATTTCGACTGCAAATATTTCATAGACGTTTATTGCTTTATTAATAATAAATAAATTAAGTTTTGCTCGAAGCAAGATTTCTTCGTACACACTCTAAATTTTTAAGCAAAGTGATTTAAATGCATTGTGTCAACGCGGAACCTGTATCGACTGGTACACCGAAAGTAATTCCTTGGGCACCAATTGCGATTGATACAAACAACCCGTGTTCTTATGCAGTATACATAAATAATATCTGCCTAATTAAATAAAATTTTTAGGTTACGAGCATTACCGGTTAATTAACTTCGTGAGATAACGAAATAATTAAAATAAAGCAAACGTACGAGCATTCAACGTTATTTATTACAACACTCCTCTTTAACTTCACTTCTTGTTTGTGTGTCTGTCTGCTACAAATCTTATAATCGAAATTTAACACACTACTACTTATCCCATCGATCTGAAATTTTGCTCACTTGCGTAAAGTTGGAGACAATGCATGAATCAAATAACAAAATTAATGATTTTAAAAAATGTTTCAATGTTAAAAAAATTAAAAAAAAAAAACAATTTTGTCATGTGCAAATCTTATAACTGATATCTGACACACTTTTACCTGTCCAATTGATCTGAAATTTTGCACGCTTGTGTGAAGTCGGACGCAATGCATGAATCAATTGACAGAATAAATAATTTTGAAGAAAACTTTTTACATATTAAAACAAATGAAAAATTTATGTTTTTAATATTCGAAAATAAAATGAGAAATTCATTTTACATCTGTAACATTGGAGACACTGGATTCTTTAGAAGTGTTGTCTTTAAAAAGTAATTTTTAAACGTATATTATCACTCAATCGCAGCCAATTTATACGATGATCTTATATTTTACGATGATTTTATGTTTCAAGATGATCGTATGTGGTCTTAACTTGTTTGCATTTAAATTCAAAATCTGGTTGCTCAATTGACGGTGAAATTCAAAACCCATTATGTGCAGGATTGTTTTTTACGAGTATTTATATAGATTATCTATTACGAACGATCTTCTATATTATGGAGATCGCGCGTAATTAAGTCTACGGAGATACATCAGTTGATTTCCAAAATTTATCATTTCATATCGAAATGTCTGATCAGACTGCGTCTAAATCTTGACTTCTAGTGAAATTATGTGAAAGGAGTTACCTTAACAAATTACCTAATATTTTGGTTTCTTATAGGTTCCTGGTCTCATCGTTATAAGATCTTAATGTCATCGTTATATGCTTTTTATATAATCGCTACAAGCTCATGATCGCATCGTTATAGACTTTAATCGTTAAGTCATATTCTCTTGATCTTGTCGTTAAAGGCTCTATATATTATCGCTATAGTCTCTTAATCCTATAGTTATCGGAATTTGATCTTACATAAGTTATTGATCTTACCTTAACATTTTAATTTCAGGAACCATCAACATTGTTTCACTTTATATTGTAGAGCGCTAGTGGAGCTTATATTTCCATGGCCAGGATGGTCGCTAGAACTTCGGTGTAAACCTTGCATAAATGCAGAGAAAGGCTCGCTGGAAACAATTGCTAAGATAGGCAAGGCAGTGAGCCATGCGGTCTGTGTCTCCGATGTCAGCTCTGCAGCTGATCGTGACTGTAATAATCATCACCTGCTGGCGTCATGTTCATGCTAAGCCATCTGCCTCCTCAGCATCGCTAGTCAGTACCCAGGAATCGGCATCAAAAAACAGCCCTCAACAATTTCAATCACATGTAAGCTCTCAGCAGTTAGAATCACCTATCAGCACCCTACAATCATCACCTTATGTCAGCTCTCAGCAGGCAGCATCACCTGTCGCCCCTCAGCAGTCAGCACCATACGTCAGCTCACAACAGACGAAGGCAGCAGCAGAAGCTGACTCAGCGGCACAGTCGTTCGGACAGTTCCAGGCGCGCAGTCCCCTCATGTACAGGGTGGCGACTAACTATGGCGACTTCAGGCAAGGGGATGTGAGTAAGCCGGTCTATTGAAACCGTTTTTCATTGTGAGTTATAATAATACAAATAAATATAATAGTAATGACAATCAGAAGTAAGGGATAGTACAACAATAATTAGAAGAAGTGATGCTTGTTGACAATTTCTGTGGCAAATCAAAAATTTAACAGTTTAGTTAAATTTTCGAATTATAAAATTGTATTTACACATGTACAAGATTTTAAATTAATAATTAGTATTAAGTAAATGTCATTTGAAGCTGTCAATCAATTGTTTATCAAGAGTATTCATCCTTAATTCAAAGTATCAAGAGTATTCATCCTTAATTCAAAAGTCCATAGCTTTGTTATCCTGTTATCCTCGTCGCCACGTCAGGTTGAGTCTCCCCTGAACGTTCTCCTCCACGACATGGACGACGCGGGCAGAGGAGGTCGGCATTTTTCCACCCTTGACTCGTGTAGCAACTCCGTGTGTGACTACGTCTTGCGGCAAGCCAACTCCCTCGCCAGGATAAAGCTGCTCAGGGAATACATCAAGGATACTGTGAGTAGTGGGTATTTCTTGGCAAAATTACTTACCGAAACCATTAGTAAATATTAACAGTAAAAAGTCAGGACAATGTCAGAATAAAGCTGCCGAGGGAAGCCGTCAATGATAGTGTAAGTTTTGAATGGCTTACCGGCAGAACTATTTGTCTCGTGTAAGTTAACTAAAGGTAAATATTGACGCCTTTATTGATTAAGCTGCTGAGTTAATAGATAAAGAATATCGTGAGTCGTAGCACAGACTCTCCTTGAGGTGAAGGCGCTGAATAATTCCTCACGGTTCACACAACTCGCAAAGGAAGTTCGTAGGATTAGTAAATTTGCGTAGGCATCATTTGGTTTATTTTCAGTGTTATGTTATTGACGTCTCCTGGCAGCAAAATTGAAGTAAGACTCAATACCACTACTAGCGTGCACGATTAACCCCTCTATACAACGAAGTCCAGGTACAATATATCTCTAGAAAAATGTTGATTTTAGCCCCAGACAAATGGGTACGTATGAGTTCTCTGCTTCTCACACACATTCAAAAGAACTCCAATCGCGCAAAAAATTATCGAGTATCGAGTAGAAATTATCGAGTTCTTTCTGTTGAGTCAGTTGCAGTCATAAATTATCCAACCTATTGAATCACCACTTTGTCTACTGGTGGTAACTGTCGTAACCAGGCCTTCAGAAACGAATAGCGTTTACAATGGGCAAGTCCTATGAAGAAAGATTAAAGATTATGAAGCTTCCAAGCCTCAGTTATCGACGTCTGCGTGGGGACCTCATTGAAGTATACAAGTATACTCATGGTTTATACAAGGTCCCCGAAGGATTACTAGAATTTGAAACAAGAACCAGCACCAGGGGCCACGGCTATAAAGTAAAAAAACTGCGCTGCAACTTATCCACGCGACAACATTTCTTCTCGCTTCGAATCACCGACACCAGCTTTCCGTTTCAAGAAGTCCAAATAACATAAGCTCTCAGGCCCAACGGTCATCCTTGTGGTTGTCCTGTCCCTTTCAGTCCACCCAACGTGGACACCTTGAAAAGAAGAAGAATCACCGACATGTGGAACAGCCACCCCGATGACATCGTTGGCGCTCCAAGTATGAACGCGTTCAAGAACAGACTAGATAAAGCTATGGAAAAATATATGTTCAGATTTAAAATGCCTATATAGCACCATATCGAACCCGGTGGAAGTCGAGTAGCTATTTCAAACTATCGTCAGTCATGAAAAGATCCGGTCAAATGACACGATTATAGACCTTATGTGAACAAGGCACGAAAAGGAAAAGAATCGGCGACAGGCCACATCAGGCCTACACTTCAGCGCCGAGATCACTATGTTATGTTATGTTATGTTACGAAGGCCAATGCGCCGGCAGAAAAAGGGCTAACCATGAACTCTCGTCGGACAGACGGGCATGTTGGACCGGCGGGTGATATGGGTATAAGAAATGATATGGGTATAAGAAATTATATCGAATTATATAACTACAATAAATTATAACTAATGGTATAAGCATATGAAATAGTATAACCAGGAACCCTCATGGGACAGGTGGGCATGCTGGACCGGCTGGTGACGGCCGTGGACTCGCAGCTGGTGACGGCCGGCGACACCCTGGCGCGTTCAGTGGGCAGCAGCTGCCGCGCCGCCCGACCCGTACTTTCTGACATCACCAAGGTACTATTCTTCAAATTTCATTATTAATCCTGCGTCTACGAGTTAATTGATTGCAAATATCAGCATTTGCCTGTTCCATACTCTACAGTCGCGGGTGGCATGAATAGTTCAAGCCGAACCGCATCGTTGAATAAGGCCCACTTGAGAAGCTATCAACAACATTATACCTGATATATCATATATGTTTGATATTTTTTGTTAATTGATTTAATTTTCGCTTTATTTATTATCTTTCATTGCACAGAGCAACGTGGAAGTAGACCGGGGTAGAAGCGAAGCGGTAAGATACTGGTACCCAATCAAAAAGTGATTCTCAAGTCAATACGACGTCTGCGCGTCCGACGAGACGAGATACTTGGCTGGCCAGGTACCGTCACAAAATGATCTACGCGTCATGAGTGGGGCTTGAGCCTGGTACCATCATAAAATCTACTCATCGCACTGGAAGACTTGAGAGCCTGGTACCATTATAAAATCTACTCGTCGCACTTGAAGACTAGAGAGCCTGGTACCATCATAAAGTCTACTCGTCGCACTTGAAGACTTGAGAGCCTGGTACCATCTTAAAATCTACTCGTCGCACTTGAAGACTTGAGAGCCTGGTACCATCATAAAGTCTACTCGTCGCACTGGAAGACTCGAGAGCCTGGTACCATCATAAAGTCTACTCGTCGCCCTTGAAGACTTGAGAGCCTGGTACCATCATAAAGTCTACTCGTCGCACTTGAAGACTTGAGAGCCTGGTACCGTCTCGAAGTGGTACCAAGACGTGACCTGCTCATCGAACGTCAAGCTCTGCGTGTCTGAATCCAAAGCACTACCAATGCTAATCCTATCTTCTTAAGTTGTTACACTAACCTCGTTGGAATAACCTAAAGAATTTGTTGTATTTAACGATTCGCTAACTTTTGAGAAAAAAATTCATAGTGAATTGTTAACGAAAGTGATGAAGGTTTTCACACTCCACGTAATTTTAATGCTTTGACTGGATAGAATGATGATCCTCAAGAGATACGAATATTATGTTATGGTATTATGGAATTCTTTAGATTGAATGCTCGCTGGAAAAAGTAATAACGAGAGAACTAACATAGGCTAAGTAGGCATCTGATAGTTCACATATCGGGATTGTTCAAATTAAAAAAAAAATTGTATTCTATCAGACAAGCATAAAACTGAAATATCTTTGGCGTGATGTAAATACTGGCAAAATGTCAAGAAAACTAACGATATTTAGAGAGACCTGTCAATATAATCAAGAATGTAGAGAACTTTGCATCTATTAAGCTAATAAGTAGCAGAGTATATGAAAGGCATTATCCGAAAATTAAATAAATGGAATGTTCGCATTAGTCGGGGCATTAATCACTGAATATTTATTTGGATTATACGGTAAATCAGACTGAATTTTTCTGTCCTTGACCTATTCAAGCGGCAGAAGTACGCATGAGTACTTCTGAGTAGTACATGAGAAGTACGCATGAACCACGAACACAAACCCTAAGCACCTACCATCAGTACGAACGATGAGCACAACACATGAACATCAAATAGCAACACATGTCATGAGCACAAACTATGAACTGGGATTGCTCGTAATCCTGGGACTTTGAATCCCGAAATTGGTTTTTGAATTCTGATCGAAATCGGCAAAGGGGTTAGGACCGTTTGGTGATTAAGAATCAATTGAAGGCATAAACGGCCTAATCGAAAACTGACACCATTATATTCTATCAATATTAGAGTAGTATGAAATCAGACGTGTGTCATTTAAAATAAAATCACAGGATAGAGACCACATTTACACTAATGGACCGAATATTTTGAACAAATTTCCATTGCAGGTTTTCCACGCAGTATATAGTCAGTCAAATTGAAACTACCGAAGACATAATTAACGGCAAAGCTATTTATTGACACTAAGCTGGTGCAAGTGTTGTCAGATGTTTTCCCCTTTGTTTTAGCACCTTTCGCAATCGTACTCAAGTTATCATTTAGAGCGCACCACTTGAAAACGAAGTGGACAAAAATAATTCTGTTAACGCTTGCCGGAGTTTATTGTGAATAAATAGCTTCGTTGTTTATTAGGTGAATATCAATTTCTATTCGAAAAATTTATGCCTGAGAAACGAGCTAGAAAAATAACATTTAGCGCGCTGATTAAAATAGAAGGGAAAGAAATTTCAGACACTGGGCGCACGAGCATATTGTCAATCAACAGCTATGTTGTTAATTAGGTCCTCATTAGTTTCGATGATTTGACAGACTAATGAGTGGAACACCTGCTATGGAAATTCCGTTTAAAAAATTATAACCAAAAGAGACGACGTGAAGTAAGCAAAGCATTCCTCAACTTTTTTTTAAATACTGGCAACTATAGTTAAACGCATACGTATTCCAGTCTAGTCGAACTCCACTCGTGTAAACAGAAGATGCCCCACTATAATAATAATAATAATAATCATAATCATAATAATAATAATAATCATAATAATAATAATATTAATAATAATAATAATAATAATAATAATAATAATAATTATGATTGTTAGTCAGTAAACATTATTGTGACGTAAGAACTATATTAAACACATCACTGTTTGGCAACCCTGCTTCTAAATTAAAGATATTGTTGATAAATAACAGAGAAATAGTCAATATCATTGATAATAATTATAAACTGAATCAATAAACATATTTGTTGATTTATCCTAATCCTTAGGGTATTAGTTTAAACTAATTTGGTGTCAAGCAACAATCAACCAATTAATAATTTACAAAATACAAAAATTAAAACAAGATATTCTTCATTGCATTAATATGACATACATAAAGAAATTCATTTTATATTCAATGGAACCTTTATTTATGAGCGTGTTGTGCATAAATTTTGATGATAAACATCTGAAAAGAATAATACATAAAATTCGTTTAAATGAACGGGATCATCAGATATGACCCCTCCCCTCGGCCCCCCGAATCCTTGTAGCTTCAAAACATTAAATCTCATGCTTGGATTATGTTTAACCTTACATAACATAACATAACATAACATAACATAACATAACATAACATAACATAACATAACATAACATAACATAACATAACATAACATAACATAACATATAACATAGTGATGTCGGCGCTGAAGAGTAGTCCTGATGTGGCGTGTCGCCAAAAACGGACTCCAATATTTCTGAAGATGAGCAAAGAGCGTTTCCTTTCACTTAGATTGAAAGATTTGGATTGAAATTTCATGGTTAGAAGTGAAAATAACAACATTTATTATCCTCAATAACGATCACGAGGAAACAAGGTACACTCTTACTCTGGTGCAGGCGTGGTAGCTTCAGTGTTAACCTCAGTGCTTGTCGGGTTTTCAAGGGCCAGCGAAATTACTGACGTGACCAAAGAGATCACAGCAAATGCTACAAGCGCGGAGTTTCTCAAACGTAACATTTTGTCGCTACGTGATCCGAGCAAGAGTGATTACACAGTATGAGTGAACTGTGTAAGGCAAGATACCGGTATTTGTAAGCCATGGTCTTATCTCGACTACAGGGCCATCTTGTTGCATGTAATGGTAGTGATGTTTCGTACCGAACGGAATACGATAGCTCGTACGATGATTTCAAGACGAGAATATAAAATTGAAAACGAATCTGGAAACCTTGTTACATATCTGAGGCAGCTAAGGAAATGAACCCTGTATATTTTTAGCGCATATTCTCATTTATGGAAAAAATGCACTAATGTGCTCGCCATGTCCGTCTGTCCGTCCGTCCGTCCGTCTGTCCGTCTGTCTGTCCGTCCGTGACTTCCCGATTTCGTCGACGAGAAAATGCGCTCTCTGTCACTCACTGCAGTGAGTACTGATCGAGTTATATTTTTTCATATATAGTTGCATATTACGAGCTAGGTATACAACATATTTCATATATTGATTCGGTTAGCGGAAAAATTACGAAAAGTGGTCTTTATGTAACGATTACAGCGCACCGTGGAATGTATGAGCTCTAGACGAATTCGCGTGAAATAAGTTGCATTTTTAAAACATAATTCAGAGAACCATCAAAAACCATCCAAAAATCAGTTTGATATTGTTTTTTCTGCCCAAATGCTTAAGTTAGTCTACTATTAAGTTTTTTTACTGTCCAAAATTATTATTACATGGATTACATAATCCGTCAGAGCACGCTATAATCAGTCGTAAATATCGGACGAATAAACGACAGCCGGGCGTTGGCATTTCGTACAACGCGGATTGCACAACTGTAGGTTATGACCTACGCTTTAGAGGAAGCTGAAGTTCTATTCTGAATGTGTTGCAATGGGATACTGATTCTATTCTGAATGTGTTGGGATACTGAGGATATTTTTTTACCACTCGGACTCGCAAGTGAAAAGGGTTGACATAAAAAAACCGCACAACATTGAACATTTCATCACATCTGGTGTCGTATTACAATATCTTCCCACACATTCGAGGCACAAGAAGGTAGAATTTAATTTTGTTGTTTTATGTGCGCATTTAGATAAGGTGAATGTTTTATAGGCGTTGGCATATAACGACCATTATGGTCGGACAAGACATGAGGATTAATTAATTTGCAGATATGAAAGAACAAACCACTATATCTCGCAAGGTAAGGAAATTTAATATCCAATATTAAATTCTCACCGGACGAAATTTGTAATTATTGAACAAACCAATTTGTCCTTCAACTCTACATTGCATGATTACTGTTATCTAATAACCGTGGCAAATAACAGATGCAGTTAGCCTTGTAAACGCGCATATGGCAAATGATTCACGGGAAATATACTCCCTGCATCACTGATTATGTATCAGGGGTTAATTATCAGATCGAGTTACGGAGACAATACGTCACCTTGTGAATATTAATTAGAATTGTACATAATATTTCCTCGGGATGGAAAATTGTTTACGACTTTTTAGTATGAGGATTCGTTTTTGGCAACGAACTTTGTGCAATGCTAAATACATTTTAATATTTCATGGGCTTGTGTTCTTTATTCGCGAAACTTACTTTGCAGAAAAATGAAATCCATTTTGATTTCTTTGTTATAGATTTTTTATTTTTTTAATTCATTTTAATTTTTGGGTTATAGATTTATTTCTATAGCGTCACATGGTATAACGGTGGCAGATGTTATGCAACCTAAATTCAACCATCTACGCCCCAGCAAAAATATGTTCTATCTCGCAGCGTGGGGAGCGACATGTGCTGCCTTATCGTGATGTAGCTGCAGCTTCTCGGAATTTGACGGGGAATAACGATAATTGTATCAATTATTATATAGCTCTCAGATGCATTTTTGGAGTTCATTTACTCTCCAGCGGAGATTCTAATAAAATGTTTGCAATGAGTGAACTTAATTTACAATGAAAAAATCGAAAAAAATATAATTTTACAATTAAATGCCTAGAAAAAATGGAAATCTAATTTGTCAACAAATGTACAAATAAAATCCCCCGGCTATTCCACACGATCGGCGAATGTCAAATCTATTCAGACACCTCAAGTAATAATGTACAAGTTATTAAAATACGTTTTAATCTTTCGTTAACTAGCTATGAATGTTATTCTTATTAAAATACTCGGGGATATGTAATGCAATTAAAGGAAAACAAAATGATAATTTCTACAAGCGCCTGAAGCAGATAAGGGAATTGATTAATTAATTTGCTCTTCATCGTCGATTTTTAATTGACTTTTCAGAGAGAATTGCAATACGCGTACATGAAAGTTCGACTGGGAGCGCATTGTTCATACACAGCAAATTTTGCGCTTCCAACGCAAGTTATGATTAAAACTTTTACGCTTATTTGTCAAATTCATGTGTTCTCATTGCCAATTGTTTTTTAAATTCATATTTCCTTTGTTTTTGTCTGCATTAAATGCGGTATTGTTTTGTTCGGAAGTCGCTTGCACGCATTCTTAGTCTTATCGAAAAGTAGCGACCAAAGATAAGCTCCGTGTAAATACTGACGTTCTTCAGAGCAACTCTTCACTCTATTTCATCATCTCTTCACCATCACAACCAACGAGATGGCGTTGAAATTTCTATCACTCATTCTTTTCGTCGCGGTGCTGAGCTTCGACTTCAATGCTTGTGTTGGACAAAGCGACACCAATTTTTATTTTACGTTCGATGAAGATTTGCAAGGACTAACGGTGCACAGGGGCACCTGGAAATGGTCTGACATGGCAAGCATGCAGTACAAAATACCTCCTGGTAAAGAAGGCTTCGCAGTTTACGATACCCCTCGTGAAGGGGACGAGCTGTACTCCGAGTTTATTCCATTAGATTATGGCTTGAATTACAGTATCACTTTCTTCTTCAACTCAAAGTACGAACAGGGAACCTCGTTTGCTCTGCACAAGCTTTCTCGAGGCGGCGAATACCTTCACACTATAGCGGACTATACGCACATGTCCAGCCCCTCCAACAATCAGTGGTTATTCGTTGAAGGCTATGTGCCCCCGGAAGCCAACGCTTTGGTAAGACAATATCCATTGATACGACTCCATGCTAACAACGATTGTAATTTTTACAATACGTAATCGTACGTTATATCTAACATAAGCAGATTCATTATAATTTTTTGGAAATAAAAGACCATTGAAATCATTATATAGGGCATCATGGTAGGTTTTATACAATTTTGATAAAATTTTTATTAATTTTCATACATAGTAAATTAAATTTGAATAAAATAAAAGACCGTTATGCCCTTTAAAGCTCATTAACGGTTGGAACTTCGTTCGATGAAGATAATAAATAATCATTAGGTTGCTGCGCTCAATGATTTTTCCATATTTGCAAAACATTAATAATGTTCGAGATTAACTACCAAGAGATGAGGTATTACAGGCTGTCAATGTGAGTGAATTTAGATTGACCTAGGCAGCACTTATTGAACAAATTCAAATTCTATTTATCCCATTATTTTTTTATTGTGTATATTTTTCTTATTACATATATTCATTATTAAAAACACGGTACAAAGTTAAACCCTATACTTGTTTTAATTAATTAAATATCTAATTAAATTTTAATTTGACTGTAAAATACACCATTAAATTTACCTTCTTTCCTACAGTTTTCGATATTCTGCCAGTCCGAGTATTTCAACCCCGACGGCATCAATGGTTACCTCTGGGGTTGTGCCGTGGACTCAATGAACCTCATCACTGGACCAGACCCAACCTCTACCGCACCCCCCACCACAACCACTACAACTCCCACTACAACCACTACGACTCCTACTACTACAACCACTACAACTCCCACTACAACCACTACAACAACTCCTACCACGACCACAACAACTCCGACAACCACCACTACCGAACCTCCTCCGTAAGTTATGAATTTACCTTCTATATAGGCCCATTAGAATGAGAAAGATAAATTTTAATATCGCTAATATTGGATGAGTGAATGTCAATCGCGAAGAGTGCATATTATCATCCTGTATGGAATTACTAATCAAATGAGTTGTAATTCTTTTTAATTATCTTGCATTTATTGGCTAATGAATTCCTTGCATCACTTCGTGCATCCACGAATTGATTTGTCATTACATTTTTGAAGGCCAAACGATTAAAAGGAAAAAGTTGTAAGGTGAGAAATATAACCAAAATACCTGAAGACGTGAGGTGAGTATCGACACTGTCACTTCGCTACTGCAATCGTTTAGTTTTATCCATGACTCGTATGAGATGAAAGTCATTGAGGGAATTTTTCAATGAGTTGGATCATCTAAAATCATAGCGATTCGTCCTAAAGAAATATCAAGTTGTAGACTAAAAAAATTTATTGAAAAAATTTCTAATCAAGCAAATAAATAACCATTGAATTTGTGAAATCATTCACAACATTCAAATTAAAAGCTTCTTCAAAATCAATAATTTCTTCATTATTTGAAATTAATTTTACGGTAAATAAGGTTAGTTATAAGAATGTGGCTACCAAGTCTGGACCTATGGGGAAAGTCCTCCTAATAATTAAATTCGAGGGAATAATTGAATGAATTATTTAATAAAGAGCGTATTTCCAATCCAATGTTGTTGATCTTTAAACAGTAGTTTAGTTGTTGCCGTTCATAAATAGTGACTCGATCAACGTGATTGAAAGAACATTATGCAGGGCACCTGTTAAAATATTGACGTTTCTGAGAGAAAAGAACTTGTGCCAAAGCTGTAATTTTTTTACTTGACAAAATTAATAAGAATTTCCTAATTCAAGAAAGTTTAACCTGATTAAAGGTTTGTGTTACAGTCCAGTGATTGACTTCAACTTCACGTCAAGCACCCAAGGCTGGGTGTTGGGGAACAGTAACGGGGCGGCCTGGAGACGGCAAAACACCAGCGGGGAGTACGCCATTGAAGTCGTCGGATCCCCTATTGTGTCAAGTATATAATATAGATTTTATATTATATACTTTTTAGCGCATTTTCTCATTTATGGAAAAAATGCACTATTGTGCTCGCCATGTCCGTCCGTCCGTCTGTCTGTCCGTCCGTCCGTCCGTCCGTGACCTTAAGTTTTCGTCGACGAGAAAATGCGCTCTCTGTCACTCGATCACTGCAGTGAGTACTGAGTTATATTTTTTATTTGTTATATATACATTACTGAACGAGTGTAAAATATGGTACATATCTTCAATGCTTACGCACCATTTGATTATACTTTCAGATATTGTTATATATTATGATTCGTTTGTTCAATACATCGTTAATACGAGGATTAATCCTTATTTGAAATGTTTTGTGCTTGTATACTTTTGCGATTTGCCCTTAATATCTGAAAATATGTTGTACCTCTAAAAAAACTTGTTGCGCAGCGAATATAAGTTTTTGAGAAAAAATACATCAAACAAAGCTTTTTCAAAAGCGTTACATGCTATTCGAACAAGTTGGAACGTTTCGTCATACAATTATTAAAAGGTGGTATGTTTCTGTATGTTCCGCCTGAATGTCGGTTAACAAAGTTATTTTATTGTATTAATCATTCGAATGTAGGCATATGGGGGAAGTTTCTGCATTGTTCACCTGTATGTCCGTAAACGGTGTTATTTTCTTGCATTAATTTTCTGAATGTTGGTAAATGGGGGGAAAATTCTTCATTGTTCGCCTGAACGTTGATAAATTATAGGAATTTCATGCATTATTCCCCTGTGTCGGTAACTGATACTATGTTCCGTCATGTTTCACCTGAACATTTTTCAGGCGTGGTGCTGGCCACAAGTCCGCGCTTGATCGTGGGTGACACTGGGGAGGTGTCCGTAGCTGTGACGTTCAGGATGGCAGGATCGCAGCAGTATCCTGCATACCTTAAAGTACGGCGTTCCTACTCCTACAAGTGAGCTACAACAAATATGCCTTCACTCCAATATTAAGCTTGTTCCAGCTTATTCCATATTAGGCTTATACCACTCCAATATTAATCTCATTAATATGATTTACCAAATTAATATTTTAAAATTCGTCAACACATTCACGTTACAAAAATTCGCGAGTCAACTGCAAAATTAAGGGAAACAATTTCAATGACACAACATTAATGTCTCACTTTGGCCACATGCACTTGTTTCTAGACTCAACAAGTAGTTGTACTCTTTTGTACTCTTAATTAATTAATTAATTAATTTTCTTCAGTTCATTTGACACAACTCCCGCGTTTTCGTTGGATGCCTTTGGGACGTCCGAAACACCGGGCTATGTGAGCCATGGAGCAGTCTTCCGAAATCTTGAGCCGGGTCAAGAGTTTTTCATTGTTTTGGGTAAGAAAATAATTTTTGTTAGAGTTAATTGGAGGTGTTGGTCACTTTATGGGTGGCTCTAATTGGGAGTCATGTATGGACCATTCATAGTTTCGGAAGAGTCGATTATTTTTTTCGAATTTTTGATGAGTCGTTTCGAATATTGGTATCTGTCTATGAATGAATATATGACTCGATTATAAATGGCCGTTGAGGGGTCATCGTGGATGAAACGATGCGGGCTAACAATTTTGTTACTAAAATATATTCCATTGTCTTATTTTTTCTCTGCAAGTAACTTGATTTGAATTGAAAATTATTACTGACCGAGTCACTATATACTTGTATGTTTGAAATTTGTTTCTCTGCTGTGAATACTTGTTAACGAAAGCTACATTCTAGACATATTTGCTTAATCAGACAAAAGGGCACGGATGCGATTGAAATAACTGTTCATAATTTCACTTATATGAACACAACATTCAGATTTCGGAAACTGAATGCTTCAATTCAGTACTGAATGATTCATCACTACCAATTATTTTAACACTCAATTCAATAATTTTGGTTTGGCTCGGAGTGAATTACATATGTTCTATATCGTGAGGCCAAGCGTGTAATTGTGCGATGATATAAATATGACGGTTAGATGATGTCACCTCTATGTTAAAACGACGAAAAAAACATTGGTAAAATATTTCAGAGGGGTCGCTGGGCATTGACCAGGGCAACGTGATCTCAGTGAGGGAGCTGCAGCTGGTGGGCGCCTCGCCATACCCCGTGCCTGAGCAGGACTTCTTCGACTTCCAGGGCGGCCTTGTGGGTCAGTAAACGGAATATGGAATAATTTGTGGAGTTCTTTGAAAGGGTGCAAATTACTTTACCAAAACATGTGTTCTCTTACAGGGTGGGCATGTGGGTTAGTAAACGGGATACGAAATAATTTGTAGAGTTTTTTGTAGGAGAAACATTTTTATGTAAACAAGTGTTCTTTCCAGGGCGGCCTTGTGGGTCAGAAAATGGGATACGGAATAGTTTATTGAGTTCTCCGGGACATTGGGGGTGGGGGAATTATTTCACCGAAACATGTGTTCTCTTCCAGGTCGGCCTTGTGGGTCTGTAAATGGAATACGGAATAATTTATTGAGTTCTTTGGGAGGGGGAAATAATTTTATGCAAATAAGTGCTCTTTCCAGGACGGGCTTGTGGGTCAGTAAATGGAATACGGAATAATTTATTGTGTTCTTTGTGAGGAGGAATTACTTCACTGAAACATGTGTTCTCTTTCATGGTTGGCTTGTGGGTCAGTAAATGGAGTATTAAATAATTTATTATGTTCTTTGGGAGGGGAAATTACATAACATGTGTTCTCTTACAGGGCGGCCTTGTGGGTCTGTAAATGGGATACGGAAGAATTTGTGGAGTTCTTTGTGACATGGGGGAGGGAGAGGAAAAATTACTTCACCAAAACATGTGTTCTCTTAGAGGGTGGGCTTGTGGGTCAGTAAATGAAATACGGAATAATTTATTAAGTTCTTTGGGAGGGGGGGAATTACTTCACCAAAACATGTGTTGTTCTCTTACAGGGTGGGCTTGGGGGTCTGTAAACATGAAATACGGAATAGTTAATTAAGTTCTTTGGGAGGGGGGAAATTACGTCACCAAAACATGTGTTCTCTCCCATGGTGGGCTTGTGGGTCAGTAAATGGAATACGGAATAATTTATTGAGTTCTTTGTGGGAGGAATAATTTTATGTAAACAAGTGTTCTTTCGAGGGTGGGCTTGATGGTCAGTAAATGCAGTGCGAAGTGACGAAACAATGAAATTTCCTTATTAATAAATTGTTGCATGAATTTATTTTTTATTAATATTTTTCATGAGAAACTATCAAGTTCTTTCATTTTTTAATGAATTCTGAAGATTTCTACACACGTAAGGCTCGTGAAAAATTGCAATTTGTGTTTGAATGAATTAATGGGACAAATTTAAATGTTGTTTATAAGCCAAACATCAGAAACATTTCCGCCTCTAAGTTATCTAAGGAAAGCTGAAGATTCATGTAGATGAAATACTACAATTTGATTGCTGTCCAAATTACAACAATGTATAACAAAAGCAATTGTGACGTATACGTATTACCTTGAAGCATCCAATCAACTAAAGATATATTGAGTATAATTAACCAATGAACACCTTACGCATAAAGAACTTACATAATACAATAAATTAAAAACCGTTTACAAGTTCCGATTTTTTTCAACTTCAATCAAGTTTACCCTCGTTTAAACCAAGATATTCTCTGTGCTTCACAATTCTATTCAGGAAAAGAAAATATTATTCTCAACATTTAATAACTTTCTCTAAAAGGAAATCTTTATCTCTTTAAGGATGGTCACAGGGCAACATGGACGGTGGCAGGTGGCAGGTTGTGGACTACCGCAACATAGGCGTGACCATCCCCAAACCCACTGGCGACTATGTTCTTTACGCCGACAGATTCGACATTTTCAGCGGTCAGTAATTAAAATTTATTGATGGTTTTCGCGAGCTAAACATTTCAGGCAATTTTCGTGATCTTAGTATGATTTAATGATATAAATTTCAGAATTTTCAGCATATTACCTCCCGAAAAGCCGGCTCATATTTTTTACTACATTTTTTCATGCAAATGGCCATGCCATGACTAATATAGCTATAACAAAATCAATTCTCAATCATGATCAACTGGTAGTTTTTTTTATTTTTCTCTGTTCAAATATCATTAAATAATAAAAAATTGTCGTTCTACATTTTATATTAGCAATTTACGCCTCTGTTTGGGGCAGAATTCTATCAGCAAAAACTTTCCTTGATTTTCATTGCTCGGAACGCAATCACGCACGAATTTAGTTTCCGCATTTGTTGAGATGTACCAGCAATCAACAAACTTTAAACCATCGGTCACGATATCATTTTGATGCAATTTCTTGCTTAACTAAGTCTAAGCAGATGAGTCGAATGCCTATTATCTTCCACAAATATTTCGATGAAACTTCAAAGGTGTTGGCTAGTATCATTTATTCAATAACACGCAAATGCGCCAGGAATCGCTGCTAAATATATTTAGATATTTTTTCGCGAAACTTGGCTGCATGATAACATCTATGACAGTTACGGGATGGTTGTTAAAAAACACGTATATTATAATTTAGTTTCCCCTCAGGTGTGATGGTCATCGAGTCTCCTCCCCTCTCCACCATCACCGGCTCCCACAAAACTATCAGCGCCCGAGTCTCCGCCCGCGGCAGTGACGACTATCCTGTTTCTCTGAGGTGAAACTTTAACTTCAGTTAAATTAGTACCTGAAACTGGAACCTTGAAATTTGAATTAATAGGCTTAGGGGCTTGAACCTTGAATAATGTATTCAGTCATTCCTGAATGAAACCTTGAATTTGGCTTTACTGGACTTGCTGGGGAATTGGCTAGTACACTGATTTTGGAGACTTAAAACTTGACTAAAATTTTCGAAAATTTTCAGGCAAAACATTTGATAAGATTAAAGATTGTAATTTCGATTTAGAATGAGTCGCACATGAATATAAAATGAATGTGAAAAGATTTTTGCTTTGACATCGGTTTATTTAAACCCATAATCTCTTCTGCAAATAATGAGACTTGCCGGGGTGCGTAAGTTTCGACGATTTCACAAAGTTGGATTTAATGAGGGAACTGAGGTCTGAACTGAGGATCTGAACTGTTAGACCAGTACGATATTAAATCTAGAAAAAGGCTGTTTGAACTTGATTTTTGACTTAGTATATGTGATAGATGTTAAAGTAATCACGAGGACGTTCCATAAAACAATATGAACGAATCCCATACCATCCTATGCCATGGAGCCTGATTTCAATATTGACATATAGTGATGACGAGCATATGAATACTGAAACGTTTTTATTTCAACACCTGTATTCAACAAAAAAGTATTCGATGATTTAATTGGTTTACAAAATTTTGAGTATGAAAAATAACTAGATGGTAAAAAATACAAGAAAAAACATTGAAGATTTATTCGAGAAAAAAATTAGACTTACTCCTGCGTCCTAAAGAGATTAGCTAATATTGCGTGTTACGTTACGCTTCGCATTCTAGGCTGCGGGCCAAAACTCTGGACGGAGACTACGACGATTTTCCCTTCGTCTCGATCTTCGTAGCGACTGACGAAACAAACTGGCAAGTCGTCACAGCTGACTATGAAGTCAGAAAGGAATTCTTCCAGGTAATAGATTGTAACAACATATTCTTTGCATGCTAGAATATTTTATGCTTGAACGATTATTTGCAAAGTGTGAATGAAATAATTAGGATAGCATTTTTTTTTAACTCATCGCTACTTTCAACGCAGCCTCGCACAGTAAAGAAGAATAAAATTTTCTCTCTAATCGGTAAAACATTAGGCATTTTGAGTAAATTATTCAAATCACAAAAGCTTGGAGCAATCAACAAAAATTTTAAACTCCTATATCAGCCTTAAGATATGCTTTGAACGCTCGTGTTGAAAACACCTAAAACTCCAACTCGGCGAATAATTGCTCAACACGCGTGAGAAACGCATAAATTTTCTTGATAGATTCTGTAGTGAATTTTAATTTATTAGTAATTTGAAAGGAAATTTTTAAATCCCGTGTTTGATTTATATGCCCATATGTAAAATTTGTGAATTTTTTACAGCTCGTGATCGAGGCCGATCTCGGCAGCGACAGTGAAAATTTCGTAGCCATCGACACGATTTCCGTCACGTCTAACTGAGCCTCTTGGCAACTCACTGACACCCACAGAATAGGGGTTAATCGGCACCAAGTTTAACTATCATTCCGTCTCAAATACCAAACGACATTGTCGACTGTCATACTTCACTGCCATACTTCGTCGCCGACTGCCATACTTCGTCGCCGACTGCCATACTTGGTCGCCGACTGCCATACTTCGTCGCCGACTGCCATACTTGGTCGCCGACTGCCATTTCGCCGACTGCCATACTTCGTCGCCAACTGCCATACTTCGTTGCCGACTGTCATACTTCGTCGCCGACTGACATACTTCGTCGCCAACTGCCATACTTCGTTGCCGACTGTCATAATTCGTCGCCGACTGTTATATTTCGTCGCCGACTGCCATACATCGTCGCCGACTGCCATACTTCGTCGCCAACTGCCATACTTCGTTGCCGACTGCCATACTTCGTCGCCGACTGCCATACTTGGTCGCCGACTGCCATACATCGTCGCCGACTGCCATACTTCGTCGCCGACTGCCATACTTCGTCGCCGACTGCCATACTTCGTCGCCGACTGCCATATTTCGTCGCCGATTTCTTCCTCAAAGGTCATCCATTGTTTGAATTAATTCATTGCCATTAATTAAATCCCTAACCTTATCGTTCGGACTCAAGACTTTGCTTCCAGTTCATAAGTGATGTTATAAGACGTTTGTCTCTTGAGCTCTTGACTATGATCTAGTTTCTTACCTCTGCTGCTGGTTCCCCAGACCACATTATAATGTTACAAAAATGCAGCGTGCTATAATAACGGGTGCAACTGAGATAGTTTTCTTCTAACCTAGGTTCGGTACATGTCCTTAAACTCTTTTGGTAATTTTTTTAATGTTTTATATCCGAGGTGAGGCTCTCTATCTATGTGGACTGACCAATAATAATAATTTTGTATTCGGAAACAACCATCGTTTCTTTAACATTTTTCCGGGAAGCATTTTCCTACATTTTGACGATGGATGTCATAGTTTAATAGCGGTGACGCCCGTTTTAATTTGGTATTGCATCCGTCACGGTTGCGTTAACACGGAGTTTTGTTTTCATCTTTAACCCTCTACCGCCTGACATGAGTAACCGGAGCAATATTGTCACAAGCCTACTTCCCAAAAAGGATACGTTCTAGTGAGCGCAAAATGACTTACACTGATGGTTGCCGCCACGTACGACAACTTTAAAATGTTCTCTGTTACGTACAAACGTCCTTAGGCTGCTACACTCAAGTTTACGTATAACTGTATGTTCCCGGAGAGTGACGTACGGCGGTAGAGGGTTAATAACAAGTGTGTTTGAGAGAAAATTAATTGCGTATAAGTTCTTTCGCGCGTACTTCCAACTAACTGAAAGACTGTGAAAAAGAATTCGAAGCTCAATGACATTTTATGTTTTGCACCTTAAAATCTGATATTTTGCATTTTATTCATGGAAAAATGCAATTTATTTCGACTTTGCAATTATCACAAATTTTGTGATGCTTCGACGATTGCGTCACTTGCGTCATCTGATGCAACAAAGTTAACGTAATTGTTGGGGTAGAAACCGTAGACTTTTATGTATTCGTTATACCAGGTAAATACATACAACTCTTACACTCTATTGTGATGTGTAAACCACAGAAAATTCCTAATTCAAATTCTAACTTTCGTTAATTTTGCAAGCTTCAAAGTTCAAACATCACCTGACATTGTCCTCAGGATGTGGGTTAATACAATGTGAACCACTTTATGTCTGTATCATTCAATGCAAATGTGAGTATTTTAGACAAAAAACTATTTACAATTTTGTTTAATCTTCATTCATTACGCGTGTCTTCAAGTTACACCAAAAGACACTTGATACTCGTTTTTATCTTAATTGCATTTAATAATACTGAGCTTGATTTAATTTTATCCTCATTTTAATTAATAGGAGATAAATTAACATCATTACGCCAGGATGTCTTCCAAAACAGTAACTTCGTTCATAATTCCCAACGATTGACACCTAATTTAATTATATTGTAAATGACTAAGCCTGAGATGGACGGCAGATAACAAGCAAGGTCTTCCATAAAAATGTTGATTATATGACTTATTGCAAGAACGCTAATTATTAAAAAGATTAACCTTTACCAGTCAAAATTCTCTAATTTGCGAATGAATCAAGAAGGTAAGTTTAGGTGTTAATGAAGTTGAGGTGTTAATAAAGTGAATTCTGATTATGCTTCAATTTGGGTTGATTTTATCAATTTTTTCTATGAATTTTGTGTGAGAAAATGAATAAGTCTTGTGCACAATACTTTAGCGCGACCTCCTCTTTCGGCGGAAGGAAAGATTTAACATAACATAACATAACATAATGATGTCGGCGCTGAAATGTAGGCCTGATGTGGCCTGTCGCCGATTCTTTTTCTTTTCGTGCCTTGTTCATAGATATAAACTCGTATCATTTGATCGGATCTTTTCATGACTGGCGATAGTTTGAAGTAGCTACTAGACTTCCACCGGGTTCGATAAGGAGCTAGGCATTTCAAATCTGAACATATATTTTTCCATAGCTTTATCTAGTCTGTTCTTGAACGCGTTCATACTTGGAGCGCCAACGATGTCATCGGGGAGGCTGTTCCACATGTCGGTGATTCGAAGCGAGAAAAAATTTTGTCGCGTGGAGAAGTTGCAGCGCAATTTTTTTAGCTTATAGCCGTGGCCCCTGGTGTTGGTTCTTGTTTCAAATTCTAGTAACCCTTCAGGGACCTTGTATAGACCATGAGTATACTTGTATACTTCAATGAGGTCCCCACGCAGACGTCGATAACTGAGGCTTGGAAGCTTCATAATCTTCAATCTTTCTTCATAGGACTTGCCCTTCAAGCCTGGAATTATCCTTGTTGCACGTCTTTGAACATTCTCTATTAAATTTCTGTCCTTTTCGAATCTCGGTGACCACACAACGTTTCCAAACTCTAGACTCGGGCGTACGACGGCAACAAACAACTGCTTCATCGTTTCTGCATCTAGGCCACCCTGCAATGGGCCACCCTGCCCACACATGTCGAGCCGCGTTAAACCTTGAACGAAACTCGAATCTTGAATCAAATAATATGATATTTTATTCGAACGAAAGAAATCTAGTGTTATTTTTTACATCAGATATGATGCTAGACGTTTTTTGTAATGTTAAACTTTTTATTTCTGTACATAATGCAAGGCTTTTGCGGGAATTTAACCCTAACTCAAGTTTTTTAAATGGATGAGGCTATTGATTTGAATCCTATGTATGAAACTGAAACTGACTTATATTTTTGATGCCTCTATGAGATTTGGAACCAGAACTTTGATTCTCTGTACATGAGAATTGAACATCAAGCGTGCGATAGTTTCTGGATTTTGGAGGAGAATGTGACTTGAACTCGAACCTCAAAAAAAAGTTTACGTGATGAAAAAACAACATACTAGAAGATTCGACAGGAATACAATTTCTAACCATCAAGCTAGTGAAATAGAAATACCAATGACCTGCGTGACGTGTCGTTTGGCCTTTTAGACTGCGAGCCAAGTCTCTGGACGGAGACTACGATAACCTTCCCTTCGTCTCGGTGTTCGTGAAGGCTGACAACCTGAACTGGCAGGTCGTGACGGCAAGCTACCACGTAACCAAGCAGTTCTTCCAGGTAACTGTGTAATCAAATTATGTTTTAGCTGGGCTTCATCTATGAACATCATAACAAAATTAAAGTATTTTTGGAATTTTGAAACTTTTCGGAAAAATTATGTATTAGTAATTCAATATGTGCTAAAAAATCTAAGTTTGCTTAATTTTCTCAACAAATTTTATTTTCGAACATCAACTATTCAAAAACACAAATTTTAATACTCCAGACTTGAAGTTATTCTAACTCAGTGGTTCCCAAACTTTTTCAGGCTGGAGCCCCCTTTGGCTCCCTAGTGAATTTCTAGCGCCCCCCACAGACACATATAAAATCATGCGCCTCTTTCTATAAAATTTAGTACGCTGTAATTTTAAAAGATAAAGGTTTAACACAAATGTGTATTTCACAAATAGAACCCCTTTTAGTGAACCAATATGTTTTTCAGCCGTTTTAACTGTTTCAGCACTGGAAACCTAGGACGCCTCGGGCAAATTTACGGCCGGACTCGTGGCCGGTCTCACGACCAATCTCCAAATTCAATTATCAAGTTTATAATATCACCCAAACTAATGAACGCAGCTCAATAAAACTTGTAACATGTATTCATCAGAACTTAACGGTGATGTTTAGCTTGCGAAAATTTTTTAAATGTCACCTTCATTCGTGAATTACCGGTATATTGCGATACAGGCCGAAATTCGCAGTGATCAAAGAATTTCTTCCAAACTACCGAACAGATTTGAACGAAATTTTGAATATACATTCCTAACTACCAAATGGTGTTTTTTAGATTAAAAAAATTTTGATTATACCGACGTTTGCGAGAGTTTTTTCATTTCAACGTTTTTCTTGATTTCACACTTCCATATTCGCTTTCGTTCCAAAGTTATACAGATATAGGAGGAACGACCGGCTTTTCTACCGGCTGGTTTAACCAAGAGCCGTTTACGTATAGCCGTATAACTCGCAAACGAAGGCAAAACGAAAAAATTGTAACAAGTTAAACATCATCGTTGCTGAGGTAAGGTATTAAAATACTAAATTTCGTTCAAATCTATTCATTAGTTTGGAAGAAATTTCTTGATTACTGCGAAGTTAAGCATGTATTGCTGTTTCAATCACGAATGAAACTCGCGAACGAGGGCACAAGCGAAAAAATTTTCAAGAGCTAAACATAACCGTTCGGTACTTAGGACTGTAAATTCAAAATTTCGTTCGAATCTGTTCAATAGTTTGAAAGAAATTCCTTGATCACTGTGAATTTCGGCCCGTATTTGCCACTTATTGCCAAAGTAAGGCAAAATTTGGAAATTGGTCGAGAGACCGGCTGCGAGTCCGGCCGTTTATTTGTCGGAGACGTAAACCCAGGGGTGGTTAAAAAAATATAACTCAGTACTCACTGCAGTGAGTGACAGAGAGCGCATTTTCTCGTCGACGAAAACGTGAAGTCACGGACGGACAGACAGACGGACAGACAGACAGACGGACAGACATGGCGAGCACA